TACAGTATTTTTTTCTTTCAATAATCCAGTATCATCAACTTTGCAAAAGCTTGGAACTGAATATATATATATATATATATATATATATATATATATATATATATAGCACCATAGTCCTTTTTTGTTTTTTTTTTAGTTAAGGTATATAGCACATAGTCGCACACTCTGTTTGATGTAAAAAAATCTACATTATTTAAACAGGGAACAACCTAGTCGAACAACCACGTGTCAGGATGGGAACTCGGTTAATCCTCTGTGTAATATGCTGTCCCCTGCACCATTTTCCAAAGTGTTCTGTGGAAATGACTAGTGACGTGTCGCCCTTCCATTTGTTGATATGCATAGCGGGCCAGTGGCTTGAACTGGCACAGTAATTAAGTGTCAACGACGTGGACTGAACAGTAACTTTGCATGTAAACGGTGTCGCGATAGGACAGGTGAAGGTTGATTCGGTTCACATCTGTCGGCGCGTGCACTGTGCAATAATGTAACAGTGAAAAAGTACTTCTTTTTTTTTAGTGAAAAAGTACTTTGCTCTAATAATATCCTAAGTCAGAAATGTTGAGCTGTTATTATTATTTATTTATATTTAATTTTAAATAAGATTACATATGAATATATACCTATAAATCGAGAATGTAGGCAGAGAGGTTAGGTAGGTAACCGCGACACTTAAGTAATTGATGAACACTTCGAGGACATTACATCATCACCAAAAAAAAAATAATTAATGATATCTTGGAGGCTGATATTATTATAAATATAAATATATATATATATATATTAATAAATAAAAAAAAAGAAAAAAAAAGTAGAAAAAGAAAGAAGGCCTTTATACAATATTTTAATCATTATGCAGTGGACAATTGATTTACGCGCACGAGTTTTGTTAGTGTACTATAGCGAAGGAAAAATACAAAACACGTTTGATGATGTTTACTGTCATTTACTAAATAGTACCGAAATGCTTTCGAAAAGAGGCCAACATCAAAAGCATAAAAATGATGCTTTTGATTGTTTCAGCACTATAGAAAAGTACTATTAAAAAAAAAAAAAAAAAAAAAATCTTTCTAAAATGACATTTTACTAACCATTCAAATTTTCAAATTTATAATATTTTTTACCAAACACAATTTGAAAGTACAAAGAATTTCCCCCAATTTCAGAGAGATAAATTTTTCACTCCCAAATTTTTTCCAACCTCTTTTCCCTCTCGATCACCCTTATTTATAGACAGTTACAACCTCCTCTGGCCTAGGCCTTATCTGCTCCCTTTTGCCTGGACTCAACTTCTCCCATTTTAACATGGGCTTCTGCAATAACTTTATGGATCTGGGCCCATCCAGCATGAACTTGCTCCATCCTGTCTATCCATATCCGACCCGTCCTTTGCAATACGGATCATACTAAGCCCGGGCCATTTTGGTGTCCTCATCTGCCCCCAATAATCTCTCCCCTCATTAATGAGGGTGAGATTATTGAAAAGACACGATCTTGGTCTGACGGCTTGGAGCAACGAAACGAGGAATCGAACGGCTGGCACAAAAACCCAAGTTTCGAGATCTGCAGCGCCACTTTTTGCCTTGACCTTTTGAGTTTCATGTCGCCTTTACTTTTCCTCTTTAAAAACTCCGGTCTTTCAATCTTCACCCTTCTTCTTATATCTCGGTTCTACTCTCCGCTGCCTTCCTACACATTCTGGCGATCCTTTTTCAATTTCTCCGGCGAGTTTTTCCCTTTCGATTTTTAGCTACTGTGCCGTTGCTGCGTTTGTCACAAACTTTCAAGGTCAGCTTTTTTTTTTTTTAAATCTCTCTTAAAAAAAAACCTTTACTGCCTAGGATTCTTCCCCTTCCCATGGCTCCCCTTAATCTGAACGCCATTCTATCCAAGAATTGCATTCCTCGCGATGTTTCCCTCAGAATCTATCCGATAAACTTAGACGGGAGATCTGGTGAGGGTCTCCTTCTTGGGGAAGTTTTATTCTCCGCCGTTCACTTGTACGTCATTAGGTTCCCCCTACACCCATTCTTTTGTTATGCTTTCAACAAATTGGGGCTCTGCCCCCTGCAAGTTAACCCTAATTTTCTTAGGGTAATTTCAGTCCTCCTGCTCTTGAATCGTGATAGGGGTTTCAATCTCGACATTATTGACCTTCTCCTCTACTATCGGATTAATAAGATTTCACAAAATGATTTGTACTATCACTTCTTCCCTATCGACAAACGGTCGATCTGCACTGATAAGAACTCATTTGAAAAAGGCTGGAGACGAAATTTAATTGTGGTTAGTGGGAATTGGTAGACTCCACTCGGCTAATCCTTCTCTATCCCTTCTTCCTTTGGAGCATACTCTGTCTCTGGCTACAAAAAGCTGAAAACACATCCTACTGAATGCCACTATGAAAGTTGTCTTTCCCGTTTTTGCACTTTTCTTTATAGATGCCTTCAAATTCCCCATGATGAACTGGTTTATAGCGTCTGCAGGGCTAGGTTAGACACCTTGCAAGAAAGTGTGCTGAACAATGTCCCTTCAGCTACTGATTTGCTTACATATGACAATCTCTCTGACATCTCTCTTTTAGGGTCTACAATGGAGAACATTCAGATCCCATCTTTCAGCAGGAGGAGGCGTCCTGCTCCCACCCCTTCTAACGCTCCTACTATCACATCATCATCTACACCTGCTTCCATATCGTCTTCCCTTGCTGTCTCTGCCCTAGAGCAAGTTGTGATTGTTCCAACTGTGACTCAAGTCACAAACCGTTCTGCTGATGAGCCTTCTGAGCTCACTCATGCTGAGAACCCTATTATGGGCCATACTGCTGAGATCCGTCCTGCTGCTCCCATCATTATGCCTTCCAACATCTCGTCTGATACTTTCTCAGAGAGCACTCAGGATGCTGAAAATTCTCAAGACAATGGAGGGTCAGCTAATGCTGGTCTGTCAGAAAAAAGTTCAGTAAAAAGGCCAATGCCTGAGGGCGGTCATGACCGAAGTGATATCCCACCAGCCCAGAGGATCAGGATGGCTTCCTTCAGGGTTACTGAACCATTGCCCCCTGCTCGGTTCTTCATTCCAGAAGGCGAATCGGCCAGAACCTCTGGTCCGACTCCATCCGTTCTTCCATGGCGACCTTTGCTCAGCCGTGAAGATGGATCGACCATTGGCCCCACTGACTCAATATACAAGGACCCCCTCACCTCCTTTGCTTTCTACAAGGGTTTCTGGACCCCCAAGGACCTTGAGATTCAGAACAAGTTATCTTTTGGTGAGATGTTCCAGCGGTTCCCAACTGCTGCCATAAAGGTGACTCTTTTTTTATTTATTGAAATGCGTTTCTTTTCTGCTCTAACTCCTTAGTAGCTGGTCTGACCTGAATTTCCCTTTCTTTATGCAAACTTTATTCGGGATGTTCACTTTCCAAAAAACCATTGAAACTCTGAACAAAAAGCTTAAATCCCTCTCTGTGGGCCTTAAAAGGTCTGTTGAAGCAGAGAATCTCCTTGGGGCCAAAGTTGCTGAGCTGGAGTCTAAGCTGAGCGAGTCAGAGAAGGGGGTTGCTGACTTAAAGGCAGAAAGGGACGGTCTGGCAAATGAGAGGGATTCCCTCAGAGCTGAACGGGATACCCTGAAGACCGAACGGGATTCTCTTCAGGATAAGGTTGATGTCTTGAAAACTGAGAAGAGTGTTGCTCTGACAGAAAGGGACTCTCTCAAAGCTGAAAAGGGAGACCTTCAGCACTCATTTATTGCTGAATGGTTATCTCATGCGAACTCACAGGAGAAGCTCTTAAACGAACGGTCTTCCTTGCTAAACATGATCGACAAAGTTGAAGGGGGTATGAAAGCTCTCCTTGCTCGCTTTACCAGAACTAGTGCCATCCGGTATGCTGAAGGGTACAGAGACGGTTTTATTGACCGTTCTCCCCCTAAAGGTGAATCAAGCTCTTGTGCTGGTCCAGATGAATTAGATGCTTCTCTGGATATCCACCTCCCAAATAACTATGAAAACCTACCCTGCGACCTGGCTAAGAATATTTTCATCGAGTGCATAGAGGTTGCATCCTCAGGAATTGTCCCACCCTTTCATCCCCTGAATATTCTTCCCCTTTCTACCATTGTGCCCTCTTCTTCAGTTGTTGCTGACAAACCTATGCCTGCTGAGGGAGTGATTCATCTTGACTCCCCTTCTAAGGATGATAGGGCAACTGAGAATGAAGAAGACCTCAATGGTCCAGAGGATGATAGTGGGGAGAATGACAGGTTACAGCCTGGAGAAGATCGTCAGAACTGACATCCTGCAGCAGTTTTTTTTTTATTTTTTTATTTATTTATTTTTTTTTTAAATCTTCGTGTATCGAGCTATGTACCTTAGAACCTTTTTTGTAATGAATGATAATGTTTTTGCTCATCATGACTTCCATTCTTCAAGTTTTCCATTTTCAGCTTTGCTGTGTATTCTCATGAGTGTTTGGCGTTCGGTTTAAAGTGCTAGCTGCCACTAATTTTGCTGAGTGCCTGGCGCTCGGCTTTGAATGCCTATTGCCACTTGGCTTTATCTTTGTTTTTGAGCAAATGTTTGGCGTTCGGCTTAAAGTGCCAGCTGCCACTAACTTTGCTGAATGCCTGGCGATCGGCTTGAACGCCACTTGCCACTTGGCTTTATTTTTATTTTTGAGCAAGTGTTTGGCGTTCGGCTTAAAGTGCCAGCTGCCACTAACTTTGCTGAATGCTTGGCGATCGGCTTGAACGCCACTTCCCACTTGGCTTTATTTTTGTTTTTGAGCAAGTGTTTGGCGTTCGGCTTAAAGTGCCAGCTGCCACTAACTTTGCTGAATGGGAAGGATGTCAATTAATTCTTGAGTAAAGAAAAGACTTCTTATAAAGCTTGGGAATTTCGTACACTCGCAAGTATGCAATTTAAAGCATGCATATTGCTTGAAATTAAACTTTACTTTTACTGGTAGTACCTTTTAAGGGATGTAGCATTCCATGGCTTATTGACTATCCTTCCGGCCATAGTTTCTAGGACGTACGCCCCCTTCCCTATGACCTCTATTATTCTGTATGGACCTTCCCATGGGGAGAACATCTTTTTTGACTATCCCCACCTTCCTTTTCAGAACCAGATCGCCAAGAGCAAAGTCTCTGTGCCTTACCTTCTTGTTGTGGCTATTCACAAGCGTCTGTTGATAAGAGGCAAGCCTTATTGTTGCCGTATCCCTTTTTTCCTCCAGCAAATCGAGGTTAAACCTTAGCATTTTGTCATTCTGCTCTTCATCCCACGCCAAGCTCCTTATAGTTGGAACCAAGTGCTTAACTGGTATCACCGCCTCGGTGCCGTATGCCATAGCGAACGGGCTTTCTCCGGTCCGCCGTCTTAGGGTTGTTCTGTAAGCCCACAAGACGTTCGGAAGCTCATCTAACCATTTTCCTTTTTCATTTTCTAACTTTTTCTTAATGCAGGCAAATATTATCCTGTTTGTGATTTCGGCTTGACCATTAGCTTGGGGATGATTGACTGCTGCTAACTTCTGGTTGATTCCATATTCTTCTAGCAGCTCTTTCACTTGCTTGCTATCGAGGTTGGTCCCATTGTCCATCACGATTGACCTTGGTACGCCAAAACGACAGATAATATTATTCCAGATGAAGCGTCTTACTTGAGTTTGAGTGACACTGGGGTACGGCTCTGCTTCTACCCATTTGGTGAAGTAATCAGTTGCTAGCAGAATGTACTTATTCTGCGATCTTGCAGTCGGCAAAGGGCCAACCACATCCATCCCCCACTGCGCGAAAAGCCATGGGGTGGCCATTACGTGCAAGTCTTTAGGTGGTTGATGTATTAATGACCCGAACCTCTGGCATTTATCTCATCTTCTAGAGAATTCTTCTGCATCTCGTGCAATGTTTGGCCAGAAGTACCCTTGTGTCATTGCCTTGTGTGCTAAAGATCTTCCTCCTGAATGATTTCTACATACTTCCTCATGAATGGTTTGCAGAATTTGTTTAGCTTCTGTTGGGTTAGCACACTTCAAATATGGACCCGAGAAGGAGCGTCTATACAGTTGATCACGCACAATGGCATACTTTGCGGCGTTGAACCTAATTTTTCTTGCCTCGTCCTTCTGCTCAGGGAGTGCACCATTACGTATGAAAGCCATGATCGGATCAATCCAGCTCGGCTCATATGGTATAACATTAACATGTTGAGCGCTCGGATTAGGCAACTCATCAAAAATGAAAGGTTGGACCAGCACGTCAACCGGGATGACCCTAGCCAAAGTCTCTCCAGAACTGGATGCACTACAAGCCAAGCGGTCGGCATCTTCGTTATACTCTCTTGGCAGTTGGATGAACCTTATCTGATCAAAGCCTTTCGCCTCACGCAGAACCGCAATTCGGTATGCTTCCATGGTCTTATCCTTGGCCCCATATTCCCCAGTGACTTGCCGAATGACTAGTTGTGAATCACTATAAGCAATCAGATTCTTGATCTTCAGTTCTTTAGCCAACTTCAGTCCAGCTATCAACGCCTCGTATTCTGCCTCATTGTTGGTTGCGTTGAACTCAAGTCTTATCGCTTGGCTCAGCGTAGTTCCTTCTGGTGTTCGCAATTGGATTCCAATCCCTGCCCCCATTTGATTCGAAGAGCCATCCACGAAGAGCTTCCATAAGGAACAACTATAATCTTCCACCAAATCTTCAGCATCACATTCAAGTAGGAAATCCGCCATCACTTAACCTTTAATTGCCGTCCTGGGCTCGTATGCAATATCAAATGAACTCAATTCAATGGCCCACTTAGTCATTCTCCCCGATAGGTCTGGTTTGTGCAGGATCATTCTCAAAGGGAAAGTTGTTAAAACAATGATCGGATGAGATTCGAAATAATGTCTAAGCTTCTTTTTTACGTTGACCAGTGACAAGATCACTCGTTCGGCCCTTGAGTACCTTCTTTCCGGCTCAGACATTGTTTTGCTAACATAAAACACCAGGAATTATTTTCCTTCTTCGCAACAGATCAGAACGGCACTAGTCGCTATACTGGATACCCAAAGATATAGAAAGAGCTTCTCATTCGGCTCAGGAGCAGACAGAACCGGAGGGTTGCGCATGTATTCTTTCAGGCTAGTTAGCGCCTGTCGTTGTTCATCCCCCCAGCCTTGCATTCCATGCCCTCGAATTGTATCAAAGAAAGGTTTATAGCGGTTCGAAAGCTTGGAAACAAATCAGCTCAGTGTAGCTATTCGACCTGTGAGTGCTTGTACCTCTTTAATTGTCTTTGACTCTGCATTTCTGATCAGGGCTTCTGCCTGCGCTGGGCTGGCCTCAATTCCTCTACGATTGACCACATGTCTCAGAAATTGACCGGAGCTTACGCCAAATGAACATTTGGCCGGATTAAGCTTCATCCCATACTGGCGCAACACATCGAACACATCCTGTAGGTGCGCTAAATGATCGTTTTTCTTCTTACTCTTAACCACCATATCATCAATATAAGCCTCAACAGTGCTTCCCATTTGGCCCTTAAAAATTTTGCTGATCAACCTCTGATATGTAGCTCCAGCGTTTTTTAATCCGAACGGCATGACTTTGTAGCAATAAGTCCCTCGTTTAGTAACAAATGAAGTTTTCTCTTCGTTAACTGGGTCTATGGGAATTTGATTATAACCAGAATAAACATCCAGGAAGGTTAATCACTCGTATCCTGTGGTGGCATCTACCATTTAATCAGTCCTTGGCAATGGGAAACTATCCTTTGGGCAAGCTTTATTCAGATTAGTGAAGTCGATACACACTCGCTATTTCCCATTCTTTTTCTGTACTACAACAACATTGGAGGGCCAAGCCGGGTATTGAACTTCTCGGATGAATCCGGCTTCAAGCAGTCGATCAATCTCCTCAGCTATAATCTGGTTTCGTTCTGGAGCAAATCTTCTCTACTTCTGCCTTACTGGCTTTGCATTCGGGTCCACATTGAGGGAATGATAGGATACAAAAGGATTTATCCCTGGCATATCTGAATGGCTCCATGCGAATACATCTGCATTCAAAGTCAAGAGATCAGTCAACTCTAGTTTTTCTTCTGCAGTAAGGCTGGTTCCCACTCTTGTTGTTCGGTCCGCCTTCTCATGGTCAATCTTCATTTTATGAAGGGGTTCTGTGGTCAGAACTGGTGGATCCCCTCCCCCTTTTTGCTGGGAGGAGGTTTCTGTAATTGCTATTTTGGACTGGCAGAACGGATGGGATTTTTCCTTTTTCCAGCAGATTTTAAAGTCACTGAATAACATTCTTTAGCTGCAACCTGGTCCCCATGTATGTCTATCACCTTGGTCCTATCTGGACCCAAGCATCGCATCACTTGATGCAAGGTTAATGGAACGCCCTGAACCCAGTGAATCCATCTTCTGCCTATCAAGAGGTTGTAGGATGGATGAATTTCCACGAGCACAAAACTTTTAGTCAAAACTCGCTCAGCAGCTTATACTGTTAATTCCACCATTCCAATGGGTTCCACTCACTTCCCATCAAATCCAAGCAACGGATTTCCTGTGGGTTTGAGTTTTCTGGGTTCGATCTCGAGTCGGTCGAACGTCACCCTGGGCATGACATTCGCACTACTGCCTGGATCAATCAGCACTCTTTGCCCAAGGCATTCTGCAACCGTCAGACTGACTACTAATGGATCTTCATGAGGAATCTGAACACGTAACAGATCCGTTCTATCAAACTTTATCGGTGTGGACGCGTTCTGCTGGTGCAAAGCATGCACACTGCCAATCCTTCTTTTCAACTGGGCCTGGCGTAACCGCGTTCTGAGCAATTCTTCTGACTCCGTTGTTTGTTCAGGCCGGCCATGAATTACATTTATAATCCGAACAAGCTGGGAGTTGTGTGGGTTTGGCCTCTGGTTCCGCTTTATCTGCTTAGTCGGGCGGTTCTGCTCTTGCGCCGGACCTTGAACATAGCTTGCAAATTCCCCCTTTGCGATTAGCATCTCTACCTGCCTCCTTAGGTTCCTGCATTCGTTAGTCTGATGTCCAAAATCACTATGGAAAGCACAATGTTTAGTTTGATCCCTCTGTTCAAGAGGTTGCCTGAGACGCTGCGGCTGAACTTGTTTTTGCCGGATCTTGGCTTTGGACTTCTCTTCCGTCGAAATAATTGACGTCTTCCTCGAATTAGCTGTTTCTTCTTCCTCAAGACGAACAAAACCGTCAGCTCTCTCGTTCAGCTCGTCCATGGTCTTTGGCATATTAACCACCAAACTGGTGTGGAACGGCGTCCCCCGATTCATTGCGAGTTTAAATGCTTGGACTGCTGTGGACGGATGACACTCCATTACCATACTTTTAACGAGGTTAAACCGGGTGAGAAAAGCCTGGAGCCGTTCATCCTCATGCTGCTTCATTATGAAAAGGCTTGATACATCCTTAGCCGGACGTTTAATCCCATAGTACTGGCTTATGAACTTATCGCATAAATCCTAGAAACTGGCGATTGAGCCCTGAGCCAGATTCTTGAACCAATTAAGAGCTGGTCCAGCCAAGCTCGTAGGGAAGCTTTTGCACATCAAAGGATCATTATTAGTATTCAGAGCCATTTTCAACTGAATATGGTAGATGTGATCAACCGGATCGGTTGTTCCGTCAAATAGAATGAAAACCGGCATGGAAAACTTCTTCGGATTCGGCGCGTTCAGAATTTCATTAGTGAACGGAGATGCGACCGTTCTTGCTAATGAGCGCAACGCTTCGTTTTCCCTTGAAAACTGTGACGGAAACCCCCGATCAGCAGATCTCCTTTCTAAATTGTGGTAATTAGATGTTGCTAATGAAGGTCGGTAAGGCGGATCAAATGACTTGTCCTCTGCAAACTTACTTCGCCATAGTGACGCAACCCTATGTTCATATGCTAGTGCTTCCTCCCTCATAATTCGTTCGCGATGTGGTTCCAGATGAATAGATCCTTCCCGATCCTCTATTCGACGGACATTCGGAGGCAGATCACCGATTATAACTTCATCACGACGTGGATCAACACGATTGACACCTTCTGGATCATCTTGATGATCGGCTTGGGACGGTAAAGCTCCCTCTCCCTCAAGAGGTGGCCTCGGAATTCCAAGAGCTTCACGACGCTCCATTCCAGCTCGTAGCTCTGCATTTTCTTTCCTCAAAGCGTCGATCATGTTCATTAGTTCATCGAGCTTCGTCTGCTGGCCGTTCTTCAAAGGATTTGAGTTCGCCTCTCCGATCATCATTCCAGATCGGAGCAAAGTCATCAATTGCAGATTTCTTGATCAGATCGGAGTTCCGCTAACACGCATACACCAGATCTGAACTCACACTTGTTGAATTCAGTCTGCTACTGGCCAGATTCAGTAATCACAACAGATCGCAATTGTGCAATTCGCCGGATCAAGTACAGATCTGATCTGCTTGGATCGGACGACAACTTTGCGAAATCAACCGGAGCCTGGACTCATCGAGACAAATCGTATTATTGCCAATGTTGATTCAGCTTTCGCAGATTAATCGTCTTCCTCGCAGAGTGCTTTGAATCGAATCGATCTGGAACAACATCAATGAGTCCTCCCTGTTCTTCCCACAGACGGCGCCAATTGAAAGTACAAAGAATTTCCTCCAATTTCAGAGAGAGAAATTTTTCACTCCCAATTTTTTCCAACCTCTTTTCCCTTTCGATCTCCCTTATTTATAGACGGTTACAACCTCCTCTGGCCTGGGCCTTATCTGCTCCCTTTTGCCTGGACTCAACTTCTCCTATTTTAACATGGGCTTCTGCAATAACTTTATGGATCTGGGCCCATCCAGCGTGAACTTGCTCCATCATGTCTATCCATATCCGACCCGTCCTTTGCAATACGGATCATACCAAGCCCGGGTCATTTTGGTGTCCTCACAATCTTACAACAAATTTATGTTACTAAACAAGTTTTGAAATAGTGTTGAACATGCTCTAAAGCAGAAACGTAGATTTTGCTCTGGGTCAAAGCAAAAGCGGTTGCCAAATGAATCCTTAGGTCTTTGTCCACATCGGATGTGGATAAAAGAGTTTAAGATTTATAAGAATAAATAGGTAATACTACCAACAATTTAAATATTTGAGTCGGTTGTCAACTTTCCAACTCCACATTAAAATAAGTGAAATATTAAGGTATACCTACCAGATATTTAGTTTTATAAATAAAATTGTAACACTTGTTGAGATACAGTTGAAGCAAACACTCCATTTACTTTTATGGCTGTACATAATAAACAAAAAGTGTATTTGAGAATGTGAAATTCTTCCCCAAAAAAAAAAAAATGTCCTTTTATTGCAGAGAAATAGTGTATTATGGCATCATAAACAAAAAGAGTGATATTCATGCTTGAAAAACACTTTCAATTACACCCCACCTTTTATTATTCTTTTAAAAGAATGACATAATTGTCTGTCAAAAGTTCCCTCAGGAGTCACATTTTGAGGGATAATTGGATTATGCAAAAATTACGGGAGTCCATTCATTCGGTAATCCCACACATAAGCTTGCGGAAGTTATTTGTATTATGTTTGGGTGTACTAAATTTAATTATTTGATATTCCCAAACATAAGCTTATTGAATTTATTTATGTTATGTCTAGGTGTACCAAATTTAATTTCACTGCTTCAATTCAGTATTTATAAATGCAACATTATTGAATTAAAATTTTTCATTTAAGAGCCTTTTTGGTACGTGTTTTGTTTTTAATGTTTTGTTTTGTTTTGTTGTAAAATGTTTTGAATAACAATATATTGGAAGCATGCTTGGTAATGTCCATTTGTTGTAAGATTTTTGGAAGCAAAAACATGAAAATTATATTTAGTAAAAAAAGTAACAAGTTTGAAAAATAGAATGGTATGATTAAAAATGTCATTTTAAGAGTTTTTCAAGAAAACAAAATTACTGTTGCTCGTTATAGTATCAAACGCTACAATACGGAAATATATAAAAATATCAAATTGGTATTTTAATTTTTAATCACTATTCACGAAATGTATCGATACTGTACAAAACAAAACAATTTTTATCAAATATTTTTTTTTCACTGTTCACTATTACAATACCCAACAAAAACAAAAGCACAAAAAAAAAAAAAAAAAAACAAAATGTATATCAAACAGACCTTAAATAAATCATTCCATCTTGTCCATTTAGTAGGCACAAACCCATCTCGCAAAATGCATTTATACCCACCTTGGAGTCAAAGAAGGTTTCAATGGCTCTTGATAGCTCCTCCATATTCATATTCACCAGTAGCCTTAATGGAGCACTTAATGAATGTGTCACTTTGTTAGGATTTGATACAAAGCAAAATTAAAGCAAGAATGACTAGTAAATTAGTTTTTGCCATCATTACCATGTCTCACAAGTTGGCACACAAGTTTCCCTGTTTAAAAAAAGTGTTGTCCGATAAATTATTAAATGATTTTGAGTTAATCATCAATTAGCACATAAATAAGTGTATAAATTTTAGGTTAACTTTATTTTAATTTTATCAAGATCAATAGTTCTAAACTATGTAATAATGCGTTATTCTTAGACATTGTGCACCATATTATACTAGCAAACAAAAAAATAAAAAGAAATAAATAAATAAAATAAAATAACAGAAATTTTCTTAGTTTGACAAGTTTCTTTATCTACGAAGGAGGGGAGATCAAAATTCACTGACACGATGTAGGAAGACGTTTATAGGAGTATTCAATTACTCGAACTTACTCTCAACCCTCTCAAATACTCAGAAAAAAAAAAAATACATAAGTAAAAAATAAAATAAAATAAAATAAAATTCTATGAGTATTCACTTGAATTCAACAAATAAGATATATACAGGTCTATCGTAGAGTTCTACCCCAAATTCTTTGCTAGGTTTACAGTTCTTTATTAGTCCAGGGTTTCTTGAATTTCTCTAAGCAAATTAAAACTTAAAAATTGAAATATATTTTAAAAAAAATACCATGAAATTCTTTTCATCCAACTATCTTAATTATATTATGAAATATGAGAAAGTCAGTGACAAAGATTTCCTCAAGTTTGTAAACTCTTCTTAGCATGATTATTCTTCGGAATTTGAGGGGAATGATTGATAAAGGAGTGGGTATTGGGGCCACTCCTAGTACTCCACCATCCAAACAGCAGTCCATGACAATTGGGATAAATAACCCAGCGAAAGTTCAATCAAACGCATAAACAGTCCCAATATCGTGCAAGGTTCAAACTCTCTACCTCTCCTTTGGATATCAGAAATCATGTTATCTCTGAACTAATTTTTTTTATAATTTTAATAATAAAGTACTCCTTATTATACTTATATATAATTTTATTGGTGCGGTGTAATTGTAAAAACTTGATGGAAAATAATTCTTAAGCTTACTTGTTAAACATACTTCTCAAGGTGAAACAACAAAGGCCATTGATCACTTAAAGTGAAGCTTAAAATAGGTCTACTTCAGGCCAACAATGATTTTAATTATTTCACTATGAAAAGTAGACCTAACAAGTATGTCTCAATACTCTTAACAAATTTGATTTGACAAGTAGGAGGTCACTTGTTTTGCCAAATAATTGCCCATCCCCAGTGGTCCGACTTGTAGATGAGACATAAATTAATTAATTTAGATATTTGAATAGGGAGGCAATTCGTGTGTGTGTGTGTGTGAGTGTATTTCAAAGGAATTTCTTACTAAGCCATCTCACAAAGTGCACACAACCTTGGTGCATACTTTTAGTCAAAAAAAGGCTACAATGGCTCATGATAGCTTCTCCACATCCATATCATGATTAAGTTTAATGGAGCACTTATGTCTCTCCTAAAAACATACAAGATTGAAGGAGGGATGACAATGTTTGGCTTCTTGGGGTGACTTGCTTGGATTTGGAATGACTGGTAAAAGTTTCCAAAGTAGTATTTCTTTTTAAAGTGTTGTCACATATGGTTCCCCTGTTTTGAGATAGTGATGATAGTGTTCTTCATAGACATTGGAGCACCAAACAGACATAATCTATAGAACCTTACAATCTCATAGTACACAAGCAAGCAAAAGAAACCAAAATTAACTTGGGGTGAAAAAATATATTCATAGTCTGAGATAAAATAAATAAATAAATAAAAAATAAATAAATAAATTAATGACAAGAAATTGAAGGAAGTTTAGAAGAGTATTTTATTACCTAAACTTACACTTAAGCCTGTCGTCAAAGACACTCAAATCTCTAATTGTTGACTTGAAATCTTTAATAGAGTTCTTCTACCCCAAATTATTTGCTAGTTTATAGCTCCTCATTAGTCATACAGTTTGTGAACAGAAACTCTCTAATCCTATCTTCGGTTGCTTGGAATTGGTGCTTTGGAATTGGAATTCCAACG